CTTCCCACCTTGCTCTTGGGTAGACTCGAACTCACAACCTCTCGGTTGGAAGTGGGGGTTACTCACCATCGGAGCAACCCCTCTTGTCAAGTATTCACTAAAAATTGAGCTGTAAGAGAAGACTGATATTATGTGTCCATACAGCAAAATAGACCCCAACCAAAGCAAACGTCCACCTGGAAATTAAGCAATTAATTAGAATATCAGATCAGTTAAATTCTATTGAATTTTGAATATAGTCTGAATTTTGAATATACACATAAGTATATGTAGAGAATTAGGAAGATGGCGCAGCTGATTAAGTACTGTGTGTAGAAGAAGAAGTCGAAGAAGCCAAAGCTGGAAACAGTCTGAAAAAGCAAGAAGGACATGGCAACAAAGGCGAAAGCTCTGAAGAAAAGAAGCCAAAGAGGATGGAGATTTCGCCAACATGGGACCCACAGATCTGTGGACTTAGTAGGATACTCTGTGTCCTTTCGCTGCCTATTCATGAGCCTCAAAGCTACTGCAGTAGGGATGATGAAGATTAGAGCACACACGGCAACTTGCCATTGAAGCCAGTACTCTAAACCCAAGCTTTCTTTGGCCGACATCACTGTTATCTTCTTTGGAGCAGATCAATTAGTTGATGAAAGAAGAAAGAATATGAGACGTAGTAGCAGCAGCAGGTTACTAGCTGAGCCTACTGGATTGAGTTTTCTGCCATGGAATTGGAGATCGGAAGAGGAGGAGTTTCCATCATATTACTAGTTTGGAAATTTCAGTTTGGTACAGGCATCTTGAATCCAGCGCACAACAGCAACAACAACCCATATAATCCCACTTAGTGGGGTCATATGTACGCAAACTTTATCCCTACCCTGTGGTAGAGAGACTGTTTCCAAATAGAAACTCGACATACTTCCTCCAAGAACTTTCCACCTTGCTCTTGGATAAACTCGAACTCACAACCTCTTTGTTGTAAGTGGAGGTTGCTTGCCTCTGCTCATTTCTCATTTCTGAATTTCTAGATTCAACCTTTTCTTTTTCCTTGTTTTCTCCATTGTTTTTCAAGAGGAGAAAAAAGGGGTGATGTAGGGCCAACACGGTTTGTTATACTATTTTTTTTAAAACAGAGACATACAAGAACAATCAGGTGCACTAAGTTCCCGTTCTGTGCGGGGAAGGACCCGACCACAAGAGTCTATTGTTGTAGTCTTACCTTGTATTTCTGCAAAAGGTTGTTTCTATGGCTTGAACTCGTGATCTCCTAATCACATGACAATAACTTTAACAGTTTTCAGAAGTGATCTTAGAAACCAATCACTTTCCGGAAAAAAAATCTCAAATATTGTATTCAAAAATTGTGTTTTCTTTATGGTAGTCACCTAGTCTTTAGGATTCTTACGACTGAGCAGAAATACAAATTGTAGGTTTACAAATTGTAGGTAATTCCTTATCCATATCAATGGCATTTGTCACTACTGCCAAGACTCCCCTCCAGTAATAGAGACGTATAGGAGTAGTAATTTATACTACAAAACTATTAATCCGTCAAACTTCTTAATTTTAACTGTGAATTTAGATATATAATCTTTAAATTAATTTTTAAAAACTTATATATTTAAAAACTACGTAAAAAGTACAATAAATCACAATTATTAATAAGTCAAAATTTTCAAAAGGCATATAAAAAGCTCACAGTCAAAGAAAAACTAATTTGACTATCGAAATTCAAACGATGCTACATAAATTGGAACAAATGAACTACTTTATTTGTCTTGTTTTATATAATACTAAGTAAAATATAGTAATTAAAAATAAAGTTTAATATAATAATCTTTATATATGTATTACATTACTAATAATAAACAAAAATATTAAAGTTTGGTGAAAAAGTTAAGTAATTTGATAGAAATACTTATCACAAAATAAAGTATAAAAATTTGAAAAGTTAATTGGATTTGAAGCATTAAAAGTTGATGGTCTCGCCGTTCAGGCATATTTCACCGATGAAGTAATCAATAATATTGCACTTGTAGATTAGTCATTAGAGTGGGAGAGGAACTAACTTATTTGGATACAGTAATGAAGTAATTAGTGACGCGGTCGGGTGTTTACAATTAACTAAATAATTAATTTTAAGAATCAACAAATTAAAATAAAAATGCATATCAGTTAACAATGGTTAAAGTGTCAATTACATGATACGTTATTCTCTATTTCTTGTTCACAAATTTGCTTCTAGAGAAGTAATAAATGCCTTCATTTGTGCTTTTAGTTTCTCCTTTGTGACCCATGGTACATTGGTGAGAGTCACGAGTGGTTAGATTTTGACATATAATGTTTAGAACCAGACGATTGGACTGTGTATTGCCAATTTACAACAAGATGATTGTTGAGTTTAGCAAATTGCAAATTATTCTTGTCCAATCCTGATTTCTTTGCATGTAGCTACTTTTTTTACAACTTTCGTTATAATATAGTGGAAGGTTCTTTTAAACATATGATTGTGGACAACATATCAAGGACTCATTTTTCATGATTAGTATGATCTTTTGGAATATTAGGGGGTGAGATTCAAAAAGACCATTCATAAATTGAAAAATCTTATTAGCATCAACAACATTTTATATGTTGCTATCCTTGAACCTATGGTTAGTAAGGACAAGATTAAGGACTACATGAGATTCTTGGGATTCCAGGAATGTATCTCTCACGACAGTGGAAAAATATGGTGAATGTTAAAGAACATCTGTCATACCATTGTTTCTACCAATGATGAACAACACATTATTATCAAGATTGAGGAAGGTCATTCCAACACTACTACTGCCATTACGGCTGTTTATGCCAAATGTACTTTTAGGAAAAGAAAAGACTTATGGTCTAGCCTAGAAAATAACAGCAATGGTATTAATGCCCATGGTGCATTGAAGGAGACTTCAATGTTATCTTAGAACCTGATAAAAAACTTGGTGGTAACCCTCATAGAATGTCTAAGAGCTTAGATTTAATGAATTGTATGGATAACTGCAGGGTGACAGATATTGATTTTTCTAAAGCTAAGTTTACTTGTGTAACAATTAGAGGCTTAGTAAAAGAATTTGAAAAATACTAGATAGAGTTTTTATCAATGATATATGGGCACAAAAATTTCAGAATACTACTATCAAACATCTAGTGAGAACATGCTCGGATCACAGGCCTTTGCTTATGAAATATTTTGATAAGACCAACCACCACATTAATTACTTTTGATTTCTTAATTTTTAGATCAAACAAGACGACTTTCTCAACATTGTTAAAGAGGTATCACTGACAACAATATATGAAGACTCCAAGCTAAGCTGAAACTTCTTAGAAGAAAGCTAAGTCAATGGTCTAGAGAATCTATAGGAAATATCCAAAGTAATATTATCAAGTGGGAGGAGCAAATTCAAAGCCTCGAAGAAATGGATATTATCAACAACACAGAAGCAGACAGAAGCGAAACTAACAAAGCCCATGTGAAATACATTAGATGGCTAGATATGCAGGAGTCCTTAAACACTTGGAAGGATAATATAAAGTGGTTTGGAGACGGAGATAAGAACACAAGCTATTTCCACAGTTTGCTTAGAGAAAAAAGGAGAAGACTTCAATTGGATCGGAGTAAAATCATAAAGGGAAATAGATTCAGGGAGACGAGAAGATTTCTAAAGCAGGTATCAAATATTTTAGTGCCATATTTAACCCCCTATCTCCAAGAAGATCCTTCTATTTTGAATTGCATCGCTAAGGAAATTACAGAAGAAGACAATGTATTTCTTAATGCAATTCCAAGTGAAGAGAAGATTAGAAATGCAATATTTAACCTGTCAACCACCAGTAGTGCTTGGCCAGATGGGTACAATGGATCCTTCTTCCAAAATTGTTGGGACACCATCAAGAAGGATATCATAGCCTTTGTTATTGACTTCTTCCAATGTAAGCCTCTGACTAAATTCTATACTCATATTTGTCTTGTTGTTATCCCCATGAGTGTTTCCCCTTTAACTTTTAATGAATTTAGACCTATTAACCTTTTTAGTTATACTAACAAGATTATCTTTAAAATCTTTTATATTAGGCTGGACCTTTTGCTTACTAAGTTAATCTCTGCTAATCAAAGTGGTTTTGTTAAGGATAGACTCATTACTGAAAATGTTCTTTTAGCTCAGGAAATTATTCAATCTATCTCTAATACTAATAAATGTGGTAACGTTGTAATGAAATTGGACATGGCTGAAGCCTATGATAGAATGTCTTGGAACTTTGTTACTACTGTGCTTAGGAAATTTAGTTTTGCGAAAATTCGGGACATGATCTTTAATCTTCTGTCTAGTAATTTGATAGGTTTTCAATATCTTTGCCTTATATTTTGATGATCTAACAAACTTAATGTCAAGAACCAGATAGGAAACCTGACTCACTTGGATTACACTGAATCTAACGGATTCCAGCCAAATGTGAACTTGCTACAATTTCAGGAGGTATGAACCCAGACAAGGACCTGATACTCTTGTTGGCTCCTCACAGCAGTACAAAGTCAATTGGACACAACTGAAAACGAAGAGTATGTCGCACTGCACTGTTTCTAGCGCTCACTCATTCTCGGACCAACTCAAGTGCTCACATCACTTCAAGTGATCATTCTCAAGGTGTACTTACAATAAGTCTATACAAAGCATCATTCAAGTTACTCAACTGAAGTCTTTGAATCTGTGCGGTGTGCACAAGAACCAAATTAGGAACCTGATCCCTTGGTACTTCTCTGACAAAAGTCCAAGTCAACTATACAACTGGAACGCAACTGAGTGACTGATCGCAACTATACAAAGAGGAACCAGATCAGGGACATAGCCCCTTAGGGTTCTCTGACAGAAGTACAAGTCAACTACAGCTGGAAAGCAATTGCAGAAAGTGA